GGAAAGGGGCTAACTCTTTGAGAAGTGTCAGGGTTGAGGAGGGACCCAGAAAGGCTTGGAGGTGTCCTGAGGCATGGTGGGTGATTAATGGCACTGTGGGCAATAAGAAATACGTACTAGGTCTCATCCCTGGTTCCTGCTCAGAGCTCTTAAATCTCTTAAAATTCCGAAATGACAAGTCACTAAAGCAGTGACTCCTGGAGGGCCTCTAGATGGCTTCAGGATGGAGGATGGTCATAGAAAAGACCACATCATGGTCCCTACAAATATGTCTAACTGATTTTTTAAAAATATATTTTTATTATTATTTCAGAGAGGAAGAGAGATAGAAACATCAATATTGAAAATCATTGGTCAGCAGCCTCCTACACATCCCCTGCTGGCGATGGAGGCTACAACCTGACCATGTGTCCTGACCGGAAGTTGTACTGAGACCTCCTGGTTCATAGGTCAATGCTCAACTGCTGAGCCACGCCAGCTGGACATGTCTAACTGATTTTTGACAAAAGTGCAAAAGCAGTTGAGTGGAGTAAAGTTTCAAAGATGGTGCTGGAATTATTTGGACATTTATAAGAAAAAAAAAAGGACTTAGACCATATATGAAAATTAACTCAAAATGGATTACATGCGTAATGTGAATATAAAAATTTAGAAAACCATAGGAGGAAATCTTCAGTACCTAGAGCTAGGAAAGATCTTTGTATACTTGACTGGCAAAAGAAAAAATTAGTAAAATGGACTTCATCAGAGTTAAAATCTTTTGCTGGTGTAGAGCAATGAAGTATTTCTTAAAAATTGATTTTAGAGAGTGGAAGGGAGAGAGAGAGAGACAGAGAAACATTGATGTGAGAAATATTAATTGCTTGGTTGCTTCCTTTATGCACCCCCATTGGGGATCAAACCCACAACCTGGGTATGTGCCCTGACCAGGAATTGCAGCTGCCACCCACATGGGAAAATGCTCTAACCAAATGAGTCACACTGGCCAGGGAGAGAGAATGAAATTCTACAGGCTGAGAGAAAATATCCACAAACCATATATTTTGTGAAGGACTTTATCTAAACTATATAAAGAATGCTCAATTTTAAATAGTAAAAAAATGCTTAAAAATCTAATTAGAACAGGAGCATGTGCAGACACTTCAGGGGAAAGGACACAGAGATGACAAATAAATGTGTTGAAGGTCTTCCACACATTAACCAACAGGAAAATGCAAGCCAGGACCCTAGCTAACCATCCCTGCACACAATGGAATGACTAACATAAAAACTGCTGCCACCACATGCAGGTGAGGGGCCAGAGAAATGGGACCCTCGTACACTGCTGGTGGGTGTCAGTGTAAGAAACATTCAAACCTGTACAGAATTTTTGTGAGTATTTGAACCAAACTGCCAGGATTTCAACAGATTGAGATAATGCTCCAGAGAATGGCAGTTTTACACGTTAGTTTATACAATACAATCAAAAGAGACGTAAATGGGTTACATGAAATTCATTGGTGATAGATTAGGGAGAAGGGAGAAAGCAAGAGGGGGACCTCTGGGATTGGATACCAAGTAAAATGATAGACATATACATCTTTTAGGTAGGTGGGTACTGGATAGTTATAGTCAACAATTAGCATGATAAAAGCAACAATGAGAGGATTTGTAGTCTCTGCTCTGGTGCATTGGTTGTGCCCTGAGGGATCCAGAAAAAAGAGGAGTTGCCCTGACATTCCAAAGGTATATTATCGTAGATGCAAAAGACAATAGACAGGCTCAGTCAAGGTAAGATTGACTTTTGTCAAGGAAGATCCTAGCCTAGGACATGATTACCCATCATAAACTGCTTTTAGTTTAAAAGTTTTAATTTCAGACCATCCTTTGTGGTTACTTTAGGCCTTTGATTTTGCAAGACTGTCACACCTTCCCTGAGCTTGTCAGGTAGCATGTAGCACCTTTTCGTCCACTTGGGAGTGGAAAATGGTGCAGCTACTCTGGATCATGGTAGGGAATTTTTTATAAAATGAATCATGTACTTACCATATGACCCAACCATCATTTTATTGGGTGTTTATTCAAGAAATGAAAACTCAAATTCATAACACAATCTATACCCAAATGCTCATAGTAGCTTTATTTCTAACTAGAGGCCTGGTGCACAAAAATTTGTGCACTCAGGAGGGTCCCTCACCCCGGCCTGTGCCCTCTCACAGTCTGGGAACCCTCGGGAAATGACCACCTGCTGGCTTAGGCCCACTCCCCGGGGGATCGGGCCTAAGCTGGCAGTCAGACATTCTTAGTGCTGCCGAAGAGGCTCCTGCCACCATTGCTGCACTTGCAGCTGTCAGCCCAGCTTGTGGCTGAGTGGAGCTCCCACTGTGGGAGCACACTGACCACCAGGGCGCAGCTCCTGCATTGAGCATCTGCCCCCTGGTGGTCAGTGCATGTCACGGGGCCCCCTGTCACACTGATCCCAGTGCTGGGAGGCCTCGTGGCTCCGCTGATCCCGGTGCTGGGAGGCATATTACCCTTTTACAATATAGGATAGAAGCCTGGTGCATGGGTGGAGGCCAGTTAGTTTGCCTTGAAGGGTGTCCCGGATCAGGGTGGGGGTCCCGCTGGGGTGGCTGGCCAGCCTGGGTGAGGGGATGAGGGCTGTTTTCAGACTGGCCACACCTCCTTCAGTGTGGGGGTCCCTGCTGGGGTGCCTGGCCAACCTGGGTGAGTGGCTGATGGCTGTTTGCAGGCTGGCCAAAGCCCCTTCAGGGTGGGGGGTCCCCTCTGGGGTGCTTGTCCAGCCTGGGTGAGGGGCTGAGGCTGTTTTCAGGCTGGCCACACCCCCTTCAGGGTGGAGGGTGCCTGAGGGAGGATACCTCTGTGTAGCTGCTTCTTCTCTGGTTTTCTGTCCTGTGACTCCAGCTGCCTTCTGTCTCCTCAACTCAGGGCCTGCCTGGCTCTGCCTCAGCTTCCTCTTCTGGGCCTGAAGGCAGGAAACTGGGGCAATCACAGGGCTCACCATTGTTTCCTGTCTATAAGGGCTCAGTGTCCTTGCTTATTACTCATTGGCTTGAAACCATTCTGATGATTCTGTACCCAATTCCAAAGTGTGTGGGTTTTCTCTACAGCAAGCAATTCTCGCACACCAGCTGGGTGTTCTATAATTTAACTCAGTTTGACATTATCTACTTGAAGATAGTGTCAGACCCCACAGGTTAAGGGCTCAGGACCACAAGAGTGAAAGGGTTCAGAAGCCAATGGTAAATCCAAGTTGTCACCTGTGCTTCTTTGTATCAGAGATTCTCACAGCCATCTCCTCAGGTTCCATTAATTTGCTAGAGTGGCTCACAGAACTCAGAGAAACATTTACTTATGAGGTCACTGTCTTAATGTAAAAATTATAACTCAGGAACAACCAGGTGGAAGAGATGCACAGGAACAGGGTATGGGAAGGGGGAGGGGCTTGCATGCTCTCTGAGCCCAGCACTCTCCCTGCACCTCCACATGCCCACCAACTGGGAAGCTCTCCAAACTCCCATCCTTTTGGGTGTTCCTGGAGGCGCCATCACACAGGCACAATTGATTCAACCTCCAGCCCCTCTACCTTACCTCGAGGGACTGAAGCTTCCAACCCACTAATCACATGGTTTCCTGTCCTGGCAACCAGCCCTGTCTTAGGAGCTTTCCAAAAGCCACATCCTATATAATAAAAGAGAAACATGCAAATTAACCGTCCCTCTGCTATGCTAAAGCCACGCCCACCAGCCCCACCCATCAGCCAATCAGGAGCAGGTATGCAAATTAACCCAACTAAGATGGCAGCAGCCATGGAGCTGGAGCGAGCAGGAGGCTTGGGTTGCTCCGGTGATGGAGGAAGCCAAGTTTCCTGACTGCCCTGGCCAGCCCTGGGCTCCGCTCAAGACTACAAAGTTTCAATTATAGAAGATAAAAAAAATCCCAGATACCTGTTTCCAGCCAGCCGTGGTCTCCACTCAAGGAGGGGCTTCCAGCTGGCCTGGGCTCCGCTGAAGGCTACAAATTTTCAATTATAGAAGATAAATAAATCCCAGAAAAAAAAGAAAAAGAAAAAAAGAAGAGGCTGGGAGCTTGGGTCACCAGGCGGCGTGGCCAGCCAGAAAACAGCCATCAGCCCCTCACCCAGCTGGCCAGGCACCCCAGCGGATCCTCCACCCTGAACCAGTATACCCTTCAGGGCAAACCAGCCAACCCCCTCCCGTGCACCAGGCCTCTATCCTATATACTAAAAAGGTAATGTGCAAATTGACCCTAACAGCAGAACGACTGGTCACTATGACACACACTGACCAGCAGGGGGAGCTGCTCAATGGAGGAGCTGCCTCCTGGTGGTCAGTGCGCTCCCACACAGGGCGCTCTGCTCAGCCACAAGCCAGGCTGACAGCTGCCCGCACAGCGGTGGTGGCGGGAGCCTCTCCTGCCACCTCAGCAGCACTAAGGATGTCCGACTGCAACTTAGGCCTGCTCCCTGTTGGCAAGTGGACATCCCCCAAGGGGTCCCGGTCTGTGAGAGGGCACAGGTCGGGCTGAGGGACCCCCCCCAAGTGCACAAATTTTTGTGCACCGGGTCTCTACTTATTAACATAAACTCAGGTGTGCATACTTTGTTTCACGTATTTTGTTTGTTTTAATTGTTTCAACTGGAGGGTGTCTTAGTTCATGCTGCTCTAACAAAGCACAGAAGACAGGGTGGCTTATGAACAACAGAAATGTATTTCTGTGTTTTGGAGGCTAAAAGTCCAAGGGCTGGTGCCAGCACCATTGGATTCTTCTGAGTCATAGATGGCCCTCCTGGCTGTGTCCTTACACAGTGGAAGGAGTGCTGTGGGGTCCCTTTCATGAGGGCACTAACCCCATTTCTAATGGTCCCACCCTCATGATCTTGTCATCTCCCAAAGGTCCCACATCCAAATGCTATCACCTTGGAGGTTAGGCTTCAGCATATGAATTTGGGGGACACACAAACATCCTGTCCATAGCAGAGAGCAGATTCAGTCCCTGTTACACCATCATAAGTGGAAGCCCTCAGCTGAGGCCCAAATACACCAATCTCTGCCCCTTAATAGGATGGAATTGGAAGGTGTTGCCACTTACCCTGCCTTCCATTTGTGAAGCTCAGAGTCACCCATATCTATAATTTGTTGGGTCTTGTAGTTAGTTACAGGCCTAGAACTTGGGCTGGTAACAGCCTGGGAGTGGGGAGGGGCCACAGGGCAGCTGTGTCCTTATGACTTCTGACTCAGGAGGGTAAGTGGCTCCAGGAACAGCTGTGCAGGGAGAACCAGGTGCCTCTGGGGTGGGGCTGTGCCCGGACAGAGGGAATGCAGCCTGGCTCCAGCTTCACTCTTCGTCCCCAGTGACCAGCACTGACTATGACACTGCCGCGGATGCCACCGAGACCTCGTCCTACTTCAGCGCCCAAGGCTACCAGTCCAGGTGGGGGCCGCACAGGAGCAGTAGTGCCCAGCAGGCTGGCAGTCCCCAGCCCTGGCATGGGGGTGGCCGTGCTGGCTTGGACCGACAGAATCCCAGTCCTGGAGGCTTCACCAAGGCCACGCGGTCTCTGTCCAGCATGTTAACAAAAGACCTCAGAAGTCATCCAGACTGACCCCACTCCCCTTGCGCTGGACCCCTCACCCATCCACATCATGCTGCCCCTTTCTGTTCCCTGCCAGTCGAGAGCAGGAGGGTGTAGAGTCTACGTCAGAAGAGGGACAATTGCCCCAGGTGGTGGAGGAGCTGAAAGACCTCCAGGTGGCCCCCGGCACACGCCTGGCCAAGTTCCAGCTCAAGGTGAAAGGTGAGGGAGATAGGGCCGGAGGGCTGGGTGGGGTCTCCCACCAGTAGAAGTTAGGTGGTCACTGTGGCCTGGGGGGTCTCCAGGGATCCCCTCAAGTGGAGGATCCCCCCATCAGCCCCAGCACCCACCACTACTCTCCCTGTGGTTTCAGGCTACCCGGTGCCCCGCCTATACTGGTTCAAAGATGGGCAGCCCCTGACTGCTTCTGCGCACATTCGCATGGTGAACAAGAAGGCACTGCACAGCCTGGAGATCCTGTCGGTTACCAGCGAGGATGCCGGCCAGTACTCTGCCTACGTCAGCAACACTGTGGGTGCCGCTTACTCCTCTGCCCAGTTACTGGTCCAAGGTAGGTGCTGGGGGCTGATGTCCGCCGGTGTGACCCCCATGGCAGGCCTGGGGTTGGGCCCACGGTCTTCACCCCAGGTGTAGAGGTGTGGTGGGAGGGCAGACACCTGTCTGCCTGCATTCCAGAAGGTGCTGCCTGTGGGAGTGGGAGGGTTCCTCAGAGCCCTCACCCTTGGAGCAGGCCCCGGGCCCACGCAGGACACACTGTCCTACTCCAGGTCTGACTTACCTGCATCTTTCAGGCCCTAATGATCCAGAAAAGAAGCCGGCAGCAGGTGAGCCGAGTCCAGATGGAGGGAGGGCAGGAGGCTCAGTGAGGGTGGTGGGGGAATGCCCATTGGGTGGAGGTAGGGAGGAACCCTGGGCACAGGCTCCAGGGACAACCACTCAGGTGGGTGGGGGCTTCGGCCTGGGAGGAGGGGCAGAGCCTACCCATCACAGGCTGTGGCTCTTCACTTGTCACCAGCAGCCTCCTGTGTCTCCCCAGATGTGCAGCAGCAGCTGGTGCCACCCCGATTCCTGGAGAAGTTCACCCCTAAGAAGGTGAAGAAGGGCTCCAGCATTACTTTATCCGTGAAGGTCAAAGGTAGGGTGTCCTGTCCTCCCTCACTCAGGTTCCCCAGAGAGGATCAGAGGCACCGCCCTTCTAGGATCTCTTCTCAGTGGGGGCTGACTGTCCATCATCCACTCCTGCCCAGGTCTCCCCACCCCCACTGTGCACTGGCTGCGGGAGGAGGCCGAGCAGGTGCTGTGGATTGGCCAGGACACCCCGGGCTACACGGTGGCCAGCTCAGCCCAGCAGCACAGCCTGGTCCTGCTGGATGTGGGCCCACAGCACCAGGGCACCTACACCTGCATCGCATCCAACGCTGCTGGCCAGGCCCTCTGCTCCGCCAGCCTGCATGTCTCTGGCTGTGAGTGGGCGTGGGTGGCCTGTTGGGGATGGGAGGGAGCCACCCTCCCTGAGGACTGTCACCCCCTCTCTGAGACCCTGCCTAGACTCCTCCCTGAGCACGGGCCTGAGGGGCCAGCTCCCATCCCTGCCTGTGGGCTTAGACCAGCAGGCCAAGCAGTCTCTTCCTGGCCCCCTCAGCCCCTCTGTGGGCAGGTCCATCAAGTGTGGACCCATTCCTGTCCCCACCACTGGGAGGGGCGGGGGGGCTACATTGGGATGCCGGGCACAGCCTTTCCTTGGGGCTCTGGATGGACAGGCCAAGGCCCTACGTAGGGATGGCCCACACATCCCAGGCAGAGGTCCCCACCAGAATCATCTCAGCGGGTGGCGGTCATTCTGGTAGTCACCTGTTCTTCTGATAGTGCCCAAGGAAGCAGGATCAGTGGGAGAGACCGCTGGGGTGAAGGAGGCCCTCATCTCCACCTTTCTGCAGGGGTGAGTGAGGGCTCCGTCAGAGCTGATGGGGGTGGCTTGGAGTTCTAGAAGCCCTGGGAGGGGGCAGCACTGCTGCCAGGGAGGGAGCCCTATCCTGGACTGCAGCCTGACTCTGTCCCTTGCAAGCTGTGTGGCTTGGGCCAGCCCCTACCCACCCCACCCCACCCCCCCCAAAAAAAACAACTCTGTGCCTCAGTTTCCCCATTGTGAAATGAGGGCTCCCCCCAGCCTGACTGTGGCATCTGGCCCACTGCCCTCAGACTCTTTCTGTCAGAGCTCCCACCCAAGGGTATGTGTGGTGTGTCCACCCCTGCCCTCAAGATACCCCCACCCCCTTTAGGACCAAAGCCATCTCTGAACAGATGCCTGTGGATTTCACCAGCCTTGCTGGGCAGAAAGGTACGGGAGGTGCCCATGGCCGATTCCTAATCTGGGATGGGTGTGGAGGAGGCTGCCGGGCCCAGGTGTGGGCCCGATTCTGAGCTCTGGGCCCTGCCAGCCCTTGGCTCAGCTCTCGTAGCCAGAGGCTGTGTGGATGCCCAGGTGCAGGGGGCTGCTGAGTCAGAGCTTGGGTGAGGGGCTTCGTATGTTCAGCCATTTCCCAGGCAACTGCACGGGGCATTCTGGAAACTTGGCATGTTTTTACCTTCTTTACGGAAATTACTGAGTCTGCACAGAAGAGAGGACAGAGCCGTGTGCCCATCACCCAATTTAGGGTCACTTCTTGGATGATCTACAGCTACTGACTTTACCTGCCCCCCACACACACACACACCAGCGGCCCTCATTCACCCTTAACTCCAGCCACCAAAGTTTGCCTTGAGCCCTCAGGCCAGCAATCTGTGTCCTGCCCCCTGACTTCAGTGTCCAGGTCCTGCCCTCCTCTCCTGCAGCCTGGCTGAGCTCCCTGTGCCCCCTGCCTCTCCTGCACCCCTTCCCAGATCAGCCGCTAAGTTGGAACCCCAATGGAGAAACCACAAACCCATTGGGGGCTCCAGTGTCTTCAAGCTCCCCCCCGCCCCTGGTCTCTACCCAGCTTGACCCTCAGCTGCCCTTGCCCAGTGCCCTGCAGCCACGCTGGCTGCCTGTTCTCCTGACCGCCCACCGTCCTCTCCTGGACCCTGTTTCTCTGCATTTGTAGCCCCTCCATCACACCTTGGCCCAGACACCTGTGAGCCATTGAGGCCCCTTATCCTTGTCAGCTTCTCTGCTTCTGGCAACATAGCCCCGAGCCTGTGTACCCATCTCCCCTGAGCCCAGAGTCAGGATGGGCCTGCAGGGGCTGCTTGGGCTTGTCTGGAGTGCACACTGGCTCAGCTAGGGTCTGACCACCAGGAGAGCCCCTGGCAACTGAGGCTCATGGCCACCTGACCCTGGCTGAGGTGGGCACGGAGGAGTTCCTGCAGAAGCTGACCTCACAAATCACGGAGATGGTGTCGGCCAAGATCACCCAGGGTGAGGGGCTGGCATGGATCACGGTCCTAGGTGGGGGGTTGTGGGGGTGGTGACCCAGGGCTAGAGTCCTCCACACCCACACCCTGGAGACCCATAGGGAGGGGCACAGGGCACTGGCCCTTCCCAGTGTCACATGCCCTTTGCCCCCAGCCAAGCTGCAGGTGCCTGGAGGTGACAGTGACGAGGAGTCCAAGACACCGTCCGCATCTCCCCGTCATGGCCGCTCTCGCCCCTCCTCCAGCGTCCAGGAGTCATCCTCGGAGTCAGAAGACGGGGACTCCCGGGGGGAGGTGCTGTGGGCCCCGGGGGATAATGGGGCCCACGGAGGGGAACAGGAGTGAGGGTGGGAGAGGGAACAGGGAGGGGGGGCCTTCGGGTGACAGGGTGGAGGTGGCTGAGGACAAACAGCTGAGCAGCCAACATCACCACCAGGACCAGGACATCCCAGCACCCCTGAGGCTTCCCTTGCCCCTCTGGGGTGGCCCCATCCAGCACCCCTGATAGTGTTTCCATCAGCAGAGGTCAGTGGGGCCTGTTTGAGAACTTCACAGAATGTTAGGATGGCTTCTTACTCCCACTTAAGGCCAGGGGCCCTTTGGCCTTGGCCTTGGGAAGCCCCGCTGGCTCCCCTCTGGTCTGACGCAGCTCCCTCCTCCCTAGATCTTTGACATCTACGTGGTCACTGCTGACTACCTGCCCCTAGGGGCTGAGCAGGATGCCATCTCGCTGCGGGAGGGCCAGTATGTAGAGGTGCTGGACTCGGCCCACCCTCTGCGCTGGCTTGTGCGCACCAAGCCCACCAAGTCCAGCCCCTCAAGACAGGGCTGGGTGTCTCCTGCCTATCTGGACAAGCGGCTCAAGGTACCTGGACTGCCCAGGGAGGGGGGTAGGTGAGTTCGGGAACCTGACACCCACAGGGCTGGCCCAGCGCCCAGGCCACCCACAACCCTCTCTGTTCCTCATCAGCTGTCGCCTGAGTGGGGGCCCACTGAGGCCCCAGAGTTCCCCAGGGAGGCCGTGTCTGAGGATGAGTACAAGATGCGGTTGAGGTGAGGAACCATGGTGGGGGGGTTTTGGCTGACGAAGTCGGGTGGTGGAGCAACCTTGTGGGGCTGCCCCCTCCACTGTCTTGCTGGTGCCTATTTAGCATTTGAGCTCTTGGTCCCCTCACACTGTGCCTCTAGCTCCATCGTCCAGGAGCTGCTGGCCTCTGAGCAGGCCTTTGTGGGCAAGCTGCAGTTTCTGCAGAGCCACCACATGCAGCACCTGGACCACTGCCCCCACGTGCCAGCGGCGGTGGCCAGCCAGAAGGCCGTCATCTTCCGCAACGTGCCGGACCTCAGCCAGTTCCACAACAGGTAGGCGGGCCTGTGTGTGCATACACATGTACACACATGCAGCCATACCACACACACACACACACACACACGTGCACATGTACCCTCTAGGTTGGGCCTCCAGGGGTTAGCAGGAGCCAAGACAGATGAGAGAGAAACTGTGCGCACTTGATGTACTTGTTGGAACACCACACCCTGTAGGAAGATACACACATCCTCTGTAACATAGGTGTGTGCACCTGCTTACCCATGGAAGTGCTTGCAGCATTCCTACCTGCTATAGTCTCTGTACATAGGCACACATGCCATTACATGCATAGGAGTGGGTTACATGGGCACATGTGTGTACATGTACACAGCCACACAACATATACAGCAGACAATGCACTACATATGTGTATCTGTTTGCTTGTGCACACATGCCTACACATACATGCCCCAGTGTACATGCACTTCTTCTGTGTGTGCACACACATACCTGCACACATGTGCACACCCTGAAACACCACACATGCATGTCCTCACAGTCCAGCCTGTTCCCAGAAGCCACCAGGACTCTGCCCTGGCAGGAGCCTGTTTCCTCCCAGACCTGGGACAGGCTGGGCAGGGGTGGTGAGCAGGGTCCTGACGCTGTCTCCTCCGCGGCAGCTTCCTGCAGGAGCTGCAGAGCTGCCAGACAGATGACGACGTGGCCATGTGCTTCCTCAAGAACCAGGCGGCCTTCGAGAAGTACCTGGAGTTCCTGGTGGGCCGAGTGCAGGCCGAGTCGGTGGTGGTCAGCACGGCTGTGCAGGAGTTCTACAAGGTGCCCCTGTCCCCGGCCAGTGCTAGCCCCCGTCTCCAAGATCATCTTCCCTGACCCTGCCCGGCCTCCCACCACCTGCCAGGGCCCCCACAGCCTGCCCAGGTCCTGGGGTCCTGGCTTAGTGAGTAAGGCAGGCAGAGCCCCTGCCGCTCTTCTCACCTGTCAGCGATTGCCCGTCACTGGTGGGGGGTGGGAGGTGGGAAGTGAGGCCCACCCAGAGAGGAGGGTCTATGTGCCTGCTCTGGGTGACGTGGGCCACCCGGGCCTTGCCATCCTGCCCTGAAACCCACTCTGCGGTTCCCACAGAAATACTCGGAAGAGGTGCTGTCAGCCATTGACCCCTCGCAGCCGCCCCCACCGCCGCTGCAGCACTTCCTGGAGCAGCCGGTGCAGCGGGTGCAGCAGTACCAGGCTCTGCTCAAGGTAGGCAGCTGCCCCTCGCCCACACCACCGTGTCCTGGGCCCGTGTGGTGGGTGCACCCTGACCAGGCCTCTCTCCAGGAGTTGATCCGCAACAAGGCGCGGAACCGGCAGAACTGCGCACTGCTGGAACAGGCCTATGCCGTGGTGTCGGCCCTGCCGCAGCGGGCGGAGAACCAGCTGCACGTGTCGCTCATGGAGAACTACCCAGGCACCCTGGAGGCCCTGGGCGAGCCCATTCGCCAGGTCTGCGGTGGGCGCCATGCAGAGTGGGTGGGGGCAGAGTGGAGGTCTGTGCCTTGGGCTGACCAAGGGCTGACCCCTCTCCCAGGGCCACTTCATTGTGTGGGAAGGGGCACCGGGTGCGCGGATGCCCTGGAAGGGCCACCACCGCCACGTCTTCCTGTTCCGCCACCACCTGGTGGTCTGCAAGCCCAAGAGGGACTCACACACTGACACCTTTAGCTACGTGTTCCGGAACATGATGAAGGTGTGCAGGCACCAGAGGAGCCTGGGTGCCTGGGGGGGGCGGGGGGCGTGGGGCGGGGAGACTGCAGGGTGGGCAGGAGGAGCCCTGGGCCGGTTCTCTGGCCACCTCCCGGGCAGTCAGCCTGCCTCCTCCACCCACAGCTAAGCAGCATCGACCTGAACGAGCAGGTAGAAGGGGACGACCGTGCCTTCGAGGTGTGGCATGAGCGGGAGGACTCAGTGCGCAAGTACCTCCTGCAGGCTCGGACTGTCATCACCAAGAACGCATGGGTGAAGGAGATCTGCGGCATCCAGCAGCGCTTGGCCCTCCCCGTCTGGCGTGAGTGCTGGTCCTAGTGGTGAGGTTGGATGGGGGAGCAAACCTGCCAGCCAGGCCATCTGGCTCGGGGACACCCAGGCCCCTGCCCCTGCCTAGGCAGCACCCCCTCAATCAGTTCAGCCTGAGCTGGGATGCTGAGATGGCTGGCTCAAGTGGGGCCATCAGGTTTCACTCAGGAGCCCTCAGCATAGCATAGAAGCCCAGAGGGGTTAGGGGTGTGAAGGGTCTGATCCCTGGGTCTCCTTTCCCATCTAGAGCACACTCACCTCTCCCTACACCCACCACTCCCCCGTACACCCAGCCTGACGCTGATTCAGATTCCCATTCGGGCCCAGTGAGGGACCCAAAGGGGTGGGGATTGCAGCAACCACACTGCTCGGCCTTGGGACTTCTGGCCCTACCAGGGGTGCACTGGGGGCAGGGTAAGCACTCGGCCCAGGTGTGCGGTGTGTGTTCCCAGGACCCCCGGATTTTGAGGAAGAGCTGGCCGACTGTACAGCCGAGCTGGGTGAAACAGTCAAGCTGGCCTGCCGTGTGACGGGCACACCCAAGCCCATCGTCAGCTGGTACAAAGGTAGGTCCCCGTGGGCTAAAGGTGCTGGCCTTGCCACAAGGAAGAGCCGCCCAAAAGGAATCAGACTAGGTGGGGCCCAGGGCCTAGGGTAGGGCCCGGTCTGGGGCTGGGTGCCAGGGACAGGCCTCCTGCCCCTGTTGCCTGCTCCCAAATCAAAGACAGCATGGCCAGGGCGCATGAGGTGGGATGAAGGGAGAGGGTATGCATCAACCCTGTCCTTGGGAGCTGACTTTCTAGGGGAGTGGACAGGCGGCAGCAGACAGACAAAGGTGTAACGGGAAGTCAGAACAAGGCGCAGCCAGGCACACCTGTTGGAGGCTTCCCAAGAGCAGTGAGGTGGCCAGCAGGCCAGGGAGAGGGGGCGCCATGGCAGAACAGTGGGAGATGTGAGCTGCCATGGGGTCTCACATTTGATTGAGTGATGGGAGCTGCAGAGAGTTCAGGGATCCCCAAAACCAACCTCACTCTGACAGCAACAGGGTCCCACAACTCCTGTTAGGTTCAGTGATTCACTGGGGACTCACAGAACTCAGCAGAGCCCTTCCACTGAGGTTCCAGTTGATTGCTGTGGAAAGGAAAAGGGTGTGGGGCGGGGCCTGGCAGGGGTGCCGGTGGGTTGGGCAGACGGCGCCTATGCTCCCAGCTCTGATGTTTGACAGCACACGGAGAGTGGCCAACTAGGGGCTCGCATCAAGCCTTGGTGCCCCAGGTTTCCGCTGGGTCATTCATGTTGCCACGACTGACTACTGCATGGCTGACCCCAGTCACAGCCCCTCCAGGGGTCAGGCTGATGCTGCGTGTCCCGAAGCCCCCGTACTAAACCGCAATGTAGCACAGACCATTCAGAGTGACCCAGGACCCCAGGTAAACCAGGACACTCTTGTCAGAGGTCACCTGGGCGGGCAGATAAGCTTCATCTGGGCGGGCAGGTAGGCCCTGAGACCCTAGTTCGGTGTGAATAACCACGTCCAGTCCTGGTTTCAGAGGAGTCATCAGGGCTGTCAGTAATTCTTGTCCTGCTTGTCCACACCTAGCCAGGGGCATTTGTTTGCCCTTACGGGCTAAGGATGGGCTAGAGAGGACATACAGGGGCGTTTTGCTGGGACATGCAGGAGGGGCCTCCCTGTGGCCCATGGTCAGAGCTGCATGGCAGACCTGTGGATGCAGCAGCTGGTTCCTGTGGCAGCTTAAAAGAGCTTCCTGGGGTCTTCCTTCTGGAGGGAGGCCTGCTGGCCCACGTCTTGGGGTCCACGCAGTCCCTTCCCATACACCTCACCCTGCAGCTCAACTGCCTTTTCCAATATCCCTCTGCATCCAGACCTTTCCCCTGAAGGGCGGGCTCAGAGGGACAATGCAATTCATAAAGGTCCTGCAGAAGT